TGATTCATAAGGAAAAGGGGATGGCGTATTCTCTTAGCTACTTCCTGCTGAAAAGGGACGCTGTGGGTTTCAGGGTGAATGTCTTCTCTCACTATAGCGTGATATTGTCTTGTCAATAGTCTTAAACCTGTATCATACTGTGTCAGGGTAACATCTCTCATATCAGACCTGAACTTCTTGTTATGGCACAAGATTTAAAGGTTCAGATGAATAATGGTCAGGACCATTAGGGCGAGTAGGAATAGGAGGAATGTTTTAGAGAGAAAGACCATGGTAGAGGGAACAAGTGCTATACCACGCTGCAGAAACCCTAGTTTGGGAACATTTTTAGCAAATGTCTCCTCCTTTCCTAGTTCCACATCCTAGTCTTATAGGAAGAGATTGAACCAGATGGTCTTTGTGGATCTTTGTAGGAGTAACATTTGTCTTGATTTGGAAGTGGGAATGAGAAAAGAGAGTGGAACAGAGTAGTTACTACTCTTTAGATGTGAGGGGAAATGACAGAGGAGAAGATGGGATCTGAATTTGGTAAAGTTGATTGGGTTTTTAAGTTTCAGCACTTCATAAAGCCATTCAGTAACAGAAAGCATTTGGGAGTTAGAGTACTTGGAAGTTCTTGATACATACTATCCACATGCCTCATATGCTGCAGAGAATGCCACAACCACACAGACAAGGGTAACAGGGATACAGTGTTTGCATGCCTGTTACAGTAGCACAAGGGAGAAAAACTGGAAATGGAGAAGTAAAATATGATGCTGTATAGTCACATGAAACAATTGTGAAGAATTGGTTAATGGAGAGGTGAGATAAGGCGAGGTAGAACCCTCTTACAGGGTAACAGAGTTAGAACCAGTATGTCAGATTTCCCCTTTGCTGAAATAGATGGTATTTTCTTAAAAATAGTAGATTAACTATTTAGTCATTGGATAAGATCAACGGTATGTTTGGAGTCACATTCCTCTTTATGTGGTCTGGTTTGACTCTTAATTCAGTGCACGGAAGCCCTTGTATGTGAACTCCACTCTTTGTTTCTCTTTGCTGTCAGTATTAATAGCTTACCAGAGTCGGTGGGTTGCAAGCTCCCCTCAGAAGCTTTCTTCTGGAGTTTGAGCATTGCTGACAAATACCCTGGAGAAAATTCCATGAGGAAGTAGTTGTTATTTTGGTGAAAATGCAGGTGTTTTCCTTGACTCTTTTGCACGTGGGTGAAGCAGACTTTTGAGGAAGCTGACAAGAATGGTGACGGCTTACTGAATATTGAAGAGATACACCAACTGATGCATAAACTCAACGTCAACCTGCCTCGGAGAAAAGTCAGACAAATGTTCCAGGTACCATTTTCACAATCGCTACGGCCATATACATGTGGGAGGCTGTCGATGCACTTTGCTATAGTAAAACAACCCCAATTGCGTTTTGTCAAAAACTGGTATTGCTTGATCTTGCTGTTTTGTTTGTTTATTTATTTATTCACAGTTTTCTTTTTATTGTTAACAGTGGCATTTGCTTCAGTAAGGAAAAAAACTTCATAAAATTATCATGCGTTCACAATCTCACGTCCACAAATGCCTGTGTTGGTGGTTTATGTTTTCAGAGAGTTGTTGTAAACACTTCACCTGACGCTTTTACAGTTCAGTTACAGAAGATGATCATATCATGTCTACCCTCCAGAAGATCAGAATAAAGACTCAGTAATACGAAAAAGGGTAGTGCTGCCAAAGCCTGCAGGAGTCCTCTGTTCATTTCAGAGGAGTCTGTCGAAGGTTTAGAATCTGTGCAGCTACCATTTAGGAAGTTCTTCAGAAATTATAATAAACTATAATGTTCATGAGCTACTTTTTCCTCTATTGGTAAATAACTGAGTCCAAATGTGCTGTGTCCATCCTTACTCTGGGCTGTCTAGCTGATATTTAGTTCCCAAATTAAGGTACAGAAGTAAACTTCAGAGTTTAAGTCTGGGGAAAAACACTGCTAGATTATTCAGGATTAATAGACTGATAATTTACATACTTGTAGGTAGTGATATGTACCATACTTCATGCCCTGCAGTGAGGTTCTAGTCTAGATTACAAGGCCAGTGTTCTATTGTACCTTTAAAAAGAAGCAGAAATGATGGTAATTTCGTTGCACTCATTGTTTCATGTTCTGATTCTTTTTTAACCTCTTGTTGGTAGAGGTGAAAGCAGAAGCTGCCTGGAGCATGAATTGTGACAATGAATGGGAGTTTGAATCTTGTTCAGTTCTGTGACCCTTTAAAATGGTCTTGTCCAGTGATACATATTCTTAGCTGGAGATGGCTTACATTGTAAAGAACTTGATCCAATTGCATGGGGGCGGGGGCAGGGAGCTAGAGAGAGAAAGGAATCGAACAACACTGTAGTTGTTGTTTTGTGCCATCAAGTCAGAACCAGCCCCTCACTCACCCTGCAGTGGGCCTTGGGAGGCAGTTAATTGCACAGGAGGAGATTGCCCGTCTTTCTGGAGCAGCTGGTGGATTTAAATCGCATGCCTTTGGGACCGCAGAGCACTTTCTTACCTCTAGACCATGAGAACTCCCTATCATATATGTGGAACCCCAGAAATGGTGTGAGAGACTTTGGTGGGGAAATGAGTCGTCACAGAATGACACCCCCTCTGCTCTGAACACATAACCCTGTCGTGAGCCATAGGAGATGTTGACAGTGCTAGAGACATAGTTTCTTTCATAAAAGAAGTCAAGCTGAAGAGAAAAGCCAGGTCTCTGGGGGGGAAAAAAAATAAATAAAAAATTCCTTCTCGAAACTCAAGTACTTTTTGGAAGCAAAGTACTAGATTATTCTTACTTCCAGTTCTATTTTTCCACTCCAGATATCTATTTATCTCTAACGTATCCACGTCCTTGAGGGTAAACAAGGAAATATTAATGTTCAATATCTTGAAGTTGTAAAGCAAATGCTTTTAGAGAGGTTTGAAGACAGCATTAAGAGGTTGCTTTGTGACCTTTGATTTAAAAAACTCATCAAGCCAGAAGTCACTGTGTAAGTTAGAATGCCTTTTGTATGAACTTTTGTTCTGTGGGCCTTGGAGCTACTCGGCTCTGTAAACGATCACAGTGGGAGTGAGAAGACCAAGGCTCTGTTTCTTTTTCAGGGGCATTCTCCTCTCTACTGTATTGCTTGTAGGCATTGGAGCCTTCCTAGAATGTTTTTTTTTCTCTTTTCTTTTTGTACAATTTTTTTAACAAAATAGTCTTTTGAAGTATAAATAGCCTCTTTTGAACTCTTTAGATGCTGTTGCTTAGACCTTAAAGTTGCATTCTTTTGAGTTGGTTAAGCATATCTAAGAAAGTTTTGAGAACTGTTTTATTTTGATTGAGCTTTAGATACTTGAAAACAATGCCATTGCACAGTGTGGCCATCGAATGCATTTTTTTAAACTACAAAGCGCATCCAGCCAGCAGCCTCATACACCAAAATGTTCATGCTCTGTGAACTCATGTGTGTCTACCTTTAAAATGACAGATGACGACAGCAGTCGCTATCAGAAGGAAAATGCGTATGACCCAAATATTGGTAAAGAGTTTGTTCATAACTAACCCATGTTTAGAAAAAATAAAACCAACCAAACCAGAAAACTAGTCCTTTGATTTTTCAAAGCTGGATTTTAAATGACAAAACGGTCATCTGTTGAATTTTATACTTAAAAATACATTATTTCCAAATTTCAGCTTGATTTGCTGACTTACATTTACCGTAGTCTGAGAAAGTGGCCTGTGTTGTTTATTCTTGCCAGTTTCCTGAAATTTCGTTTGCACTGTAATAGAGAGCCAGTTTTTACAGCGTTCTGTGTGAGTGTCAGAAGAATGTGTCAGGATGCCATGTTGGATAATCAGATGGTTGATAAACAAGATGTGGATGCATTTCCCAGCACTGAATCTCCTATGTCACACTCTGTCTTGCTTTCTCTGTGCCCCTCTTAGGAAGCCGATACTGATGAGAATCAAGGAACTTTGACATTTGAGGAGTTTTGTGTTTTTTACAAAATGATGTCATTGAGACGAGATCTGTATTTGTTGCTCCTGAGCTACAGTGACAAGAAAGATCACCTAACAGTGGAAGAACTCGCTCAGTTTTTGAAAGTGGAGCAAAAGGTATCGTTAGAGGACTGAACTGATGTTTACCCTGGAAATATTTGTGAAAAGATGGGAAATGTTCCTTCCTGGGTTTGGGCATAGTTAGTCCTTTCAATTTAAGAGGCAAATATCACAGTTGTAAAAAAGTCTTACGTCATTGATTGCTGTTGAGCTGAGCACAACTCATGGCGACCCTATGAACAAAAGCCTTTTCTATAACTATGGTCATTTAGCAAAATTCATAGAGTTTCCAGAGGCATGTGGTTTAGGAAGTGGATGCCGCTCCTGCTTACAAAAACAACAAACCTTATATTTGAGTAATAGGTGATATGTTTTTAGAAGTTTTTGAGAAGAATTGGTAAAATGAACACTCAGAAAAAACCCCAACAAATCCAACACAAAACAAACCACCACCAACAACAAAAACACCCGTGAAAGGCAGTAAATCCCACTGCTCAGAGCTGTTGAGTATAAGAAGCAATTCACACTTGACCCCTCAGCAGCTTCGCAGAGGCTGTAAATCACACAGGAGGAGATGGTCCATTTTCTTCCTGCGTAACAGCTGGGGGATTCAGGTCACCTCCCTTAGAACTGGCAGCACAACTTCCGGTCCACGAGGCCGCCACTGGCTCCCTAGCTGTGCACTAGTGAGCACAGTTTATTGACCTTAAACATCCTGACTATGGTGACTTCCCCAGACAAGTTAATATTAAATTAACATGTTTAATTTTAGGTTATATGATGATGGTTTCTTTTTGCTAATGATATAGCTAGATATTTGTTAATTTAACTACTAGCATAACTCTTACTGACATTATAGCA